CTTAACCAAATATTTATCGCTATATTTTCAACTGAATGTCTACTAAAAATATTCGCATTGCGGTATTATTATTTTAAAGAGCCATGGAACTTATTTGACTTCGTCGTTGTCATACTATCCTTAGCGGGTATATAGTGAAATAATAATATTATATTACAAGCAATTTTCTGATCATAACACCTGATTTGACTTCCACAGGTTTGGTGTTGAGCGATTTGATTTCCAAATATTTTGTGTCACCGACGCTTCTTCGAGTGGTCAGAGTAGCCAAGGTGGGCCGAGTGTTACGTTTAGTAAAAGGAGCCAAAGGCATCAGAACTCTATTGTTCGCTTTAGCCATGTCACTTCCAGCGTTATTTAACATATGCTTGTTACTGTTTCTCGTCATGTTCATATTCGCTATATTTGGTATGTCGTTTTTTATGAACGTAGATAGCCACGGAGGCTTGGATGAGGATTACAATTTCCGTACATTCGGGCAATCGATGATCCTTCTTTTCATGGTAAGCTGCTACAGTCAGTCTCATAAATATCGTGTCTGATGAAAACAATGTGATCTTATAAATAATTATATAATAACATATAACCTAGTCTATCAGGTTGTTGATCAAATACTTATATACTTTCAGCTGTCTACGTCGTCCGGTTGGGACGCTGTACTGGATGGTATAACGAACGAGGAAAACTGTGAAAAACAGAACTTAGAAATGGGCATCACGGGCAGTTGTGGAAGCAGTGCTGTGGGCACGGCGTTTTTGTTGTCGTACCTGGTGATCAACTTCCTCATTGTCATAAACATGTACATTGCGGTCATTCTGGAGAATTATTCGCAGGCCACAGAGGACGTGCAGGAAGGCCTTACCGACGACGATTACGACATGTACTATGAGATATGGCAGCACTTCGACCCCGACGGCACCAGGTACATTCGGTACGACCAGCTGTCAGACTTTTTAGACATTCTGGAACCACCACTGAAGATCCACAAGCCGAACAAGTACAAGATCGTGTCCATGGACATACCGATATGCAAGGGCGACCTAATCTACTGTGTAGACATACTAGACGCGCTGACCAAGGACTTCTTCGCGAGGAAGGGTAATCCCATCATCGAGACCGTGGCCGAGATCGGAGAGATGCAAACGCGACCCGAAGAGGCTGGATACGAGCCAATTAGCTCATCTCTGTGGCGTATGCGTGAGGTTTATTGCGCAATTATCATACAGAATTCGTGGCGAAAGTTCACGAAGGCTGCCAAAGAGCAGAAGGCGGATGACGACCGGAGCGACGGGGCCGCTTCACCAGACGGTCGTGAAACCGCCGTGTTGGTCGAGAGCGACGGATTCGTAACCAAAAACGGTCACAAAGTGGTCATTCACTCAAGGTCGTCGTCAAAAAGCTCAAGACTCGCCGATGTCTAAAACGCAAATCAATAAGTCCGTATTGCAAAAACAATGAATTTTGTACGTTATTATTATTATTATTATTGATATTATTTATAATATTATATTATTACGATTATTATGGCAACATTTATGATTGAGGCTTCATATTATATTATATTGTTATATTCTTGATTTTCACTTAACATTTTTAACACTCTTATAATACTACTATTGGCCAACTGCTGTGATATATATATATAAATTTTAAAAAAATATTTTATAATTTGTAGTATTTAAGGTTTACACGAGAGCTTAAAATGATTATTAAGTGATATTATGCGTATGTTAACGATGTTATTTTTTTTTCCTATGCATAGTGTTTTGTAGCCAGCAATGAAGTCAAATTACTCAAATAAAACTTCACGGCTTATACACACCATATTAAAATACTTGTATTATTGTTACTATTATGTTTATTATTTTTCAAATTTCATAATTTTATTAATGTAAAGTTTTTAATATAAAATACACGAATACTATTATATTTTCACATGAATATGTCCAAAAAATTATTACAGTTAAAAAAAAATAAAAATTATTTTGTTTAAAGCATTGATACTTAGACATTGTTACTGTTAATCGTTATTCAATAAGTTATGTGGTTTTTATGAGTCCATTGGGGACTTATTTGGAATAGCCATAGACCTTAATTCTTTAAATAATTATACTTCCCAATAATATTGGTCTTTTGACCTCTCAGCCACTAACTTTTTAATTTTTAATTTGCCTCGATTTTTTTAACGATTCTGAGCAAAATAACGAAGAAATTTAAACGAAGAGATTTAAATAATATATGATTTTATTTTTCAAATATATAAGTAAAATTAAACTTAAGAAGTCCTGTTATACCTGATTCAGATTATCATTGCATGGCTTATACGATTATGATATTAATTTATATTTATGAGCATAATATGTTATGAAAGCATAATGGTTTTGTAACGTATGTTACATTACCCCTCCTTTTTTTTGGAACATTTTAAATGTACTTAAAAAAAAAAAAAATAACAATATAAATCATGTTTCATTTAAACACCATCCCCCTTTTTTTTTCACAATTTAAGAAAATATATTATTAAGGTTAGTTTTATTTAAATTGATTGAAATTGTACCTGATTTTGAAGATTTACCACTGTTTTGGTGTGAATACGTGATAACTGATATTTACGTTATATATTTATATACATACACTGCATGTCTGCATGTCTGCATTTATACATATAGTATGCATATGATATATTATATCTTTATGTTTAGTTATTAAAATTAGTTCTGCTTTGCTCGGGCTTACCAATGTGATAACACTCATGATAATAATATATCAACTGTATTTTTGAGTGGCAAAATCTCTATATAAATTGTTTCTTGATTCATCTGTTTGT